CAGTCACAGGAGACGGAAAGCGATGCTTTACTGAGGACAAGTATTATTCAAACTACAGGATTAGAATAGGTGAAGGTAGAGGGCACAGAAATGGAATTTGGGGACAAGTGAGGGTAACGTGAAGGATATGCAAAGGAGGGTTCGAAACAGTTCTAAGGGTAGTTAAGCGGCCTCGGTGACCTCGATTGGAGATCCCCTGTGAATCTTGCAAGTGATTAAGCATTTATGATTGCTCAAGTTAACTGCCACATTGAAGAGGCATATCCCTACTACTCACCCCGCCCCTCCCCCAAAGAAGTCCGAGGTAATCGGGTTGGCTTAGCCATCACATAATGAAGTTAAGCCTCAGACCAGAATTAATTAGCTGATCCTTCCTGTAAATCTACCAGTCTCCCTCCCTCCCAGGAACTGTGAAGCTATGGCGGTATTGACAGCAGAGAATATGAAAGTCGTTAATCGAATGAGTCACCGGGGCCACTGCCCATCTATCTACTAGCTGAATTGTCCCCAGATCGGTCTTGGCTTTCGCCTTGTACATCAAATTCCCAAGCATGATTGGGAAGGCAGGTGTTGAGGTCAGCATGGGTCTGGGGGTTTAATTGCGACTGTCTCTCTGCTTCCTTAAGGATTTGACTGTGGAGACGGACAGCAAGAGATTCGACCTGTCCAGATTGAGAAACAGCACTCCATTCAGCCTCACACTCCTCATCCTTTTCGCTGAAATCAATGCTACTCAGAGCAGAAGCTGAATTCGCCTTACGAGAAGTACGAGCTGTTGATCGTCCAACAAGTTTTTCCCCGAAATCTCTGCCACCTTCGTTATCTTCCTCCTCGTCGTCTGCAACGAACCCAGCATCATCGGTCTCTTCAAAGGTCAAATATCCTGATTGAACCAGATCTGCATCTCCAGATTCGACCTCCGCGGTAGAGGCAGCTGCGGCCGCAGTAGCAGCCGCCACCTCGGCCAACTTAAAATCGAGCGAATTTAGTGCACTGCTGATTTCGTCCGAGTCGAAAGTTAATCCAAGACCACCAGGCTGAATCGGATCAGAGACAATGTGCTCATCAGAAGAGCCCATCAACTCAATGTCTGGGGCTAAAGGAGACGAATGGCTAGCAACTAATGAGACGTTGCAAGGCACAGGAGTGATGCAGGGCGATGATGATGAA